GGCCAGGCCCGGACAGAGTGGTTTCCTGTCTGTGCTTGTCTGCGGGCAGGAGGGACCCGCTTCCTGGCGCCACTCACCCCCAGGCTCCTACCCTGTCCCCGCATTTTAGTGCCAATGATAAGATTTCCCAGGCTCAGACCCAGAGCCGGATGGGAAACTGCAGGTGCTTCGGGATCGTCTCAGGGACAAGGCAGGCGGCCAGGCCCTGTGGGTTATGGAACGAGGTGTCAGTGGGATTTTGGCTGTTGCCTTGGGCGTCATCCGAGAACAAGAGGCATGAATGCTCTGCGGGGTTAACTCATCTCCAGAACCTTCCGGGGGCAGCCAGACCGGCCTGTTCCCCACGGCCCCCCTCACACAGGCTTTATGGGGACCTCTGAGGGGGCTGCTCTCAGTGGGGAGCGCTCCCTCCTCTGCCCTTCCCAGGACCCCCCCCCCCCAAGCTCCTTCTGAATGCCAAGCCTGGGCCAGGGTGGGTTACGGAGAACCACCAGCCAGAGGGCGCCTCGCCCCCATCCGGGACCTGGCAGGACCACAGAGCAGCCCATGCCCACCTTGGTGGCCCGGAGCTGAGCACAGCGATGGGGCTCAGGAGAGAGTTACCCCTGCCACCCTGGGCTGCCCTAGAGGAAGCTGCCAGGGCAGGTTCACAGAAGGGCCCCGAGTTTGAGGGGCAAGAAGGAGCCCGGGTGTGGTGACTCTGGGGGGAATGGGGCCAAGCCCTGGGGTGCAGAGGGCCCCTGGGATCCTGGTCCTGCAGGAGCGGGGCTGGAGGAGGGAGCAGAGCGCGGTCTTGCCCTGGGAGACGCCAGGTCCAAGGAGGTCATGCTTCTCATAATTCGCCCAGAGCGCGCAGAAATGGCAGGGCCGCGGGCGGACCGCAGGGGAGCGTCCTCACCACAGCCAAGAGCAGAAGACAGCGGGGCACCCGGACCAGGAGTGCTGCTCATCAGGAAGGGCCTGCCTGGTCCCTCCCTCCTGTGCTCAAGCTCAGGGGGCGCAGTGCTGGGGAGACCGGAGAGGACCCGGAACCAAGGACCCCCAGGGTTGGAGGCTGCAGTGACAGAGCAGGCCACCCTCCCTCCCGCCCTGGGACTCAGAGGGGAAGGGATTAAATAACGTGGATCCGACTCAGGGCGAACTGGACTCTGGTGGCACCACGGTGGCCAGGAAAGTGTAGGGTCTGCCCGCCGTCCTCAAGGGCCAGAATGCAAATGAACGACAGACGGAGAAAGGCCGTCACTTTCTGCCCTGATGAGGTCACAGGCCAGGCCACCAGCCTCAACCCGGGGGCGTGGGGGGCCTCACGGTGGCCTCCCCGACATCACTCGCAGCCACCGCTCAGTCTCAGGGACCGAGCGGGGAAACCCAGTGCCCAGCAGCGTGAGTGCATAGAGCGGCACCGCCGGAAACTGCTCCCCTGAGTCAATCAGACCTTGAAGCCTGGCTCCCAACGCACAGGATTCTGGGGGAGCTAATGGACAGCTGAGAAAGCAAGTCCGAATGTGGGTCTTTCTAACCAGTGACCTGGTTTCTCTGACGAGTCAATAGCAAGGGGTGCAGGGGGTCGGGGGGCGGGGGGAGAGGGTGAAGAAAGGGCCTCTGGCCCCGTAAGCAGCACTCAGCACTCGGACACAGCCAGAGCAGCGGCCTGCTCGACTGCCTCCACCGCCTGCCTGGAAGGCGCCCTTGGGACAGGTGGGCATTTGAACGGGAGTGGGTGTTAGAGACCTAATGTTCTTGTGGATTTGCTGGTTGGGCACTTCTGTTAGTAAGGTCTTTATCAGTCATGCTGTGGCCTGACTGAGTACAAGGAGGGGACGTGTCTGGTCTCAAGCACGCCAGCCAAGTAAGATAAACTACCATGTGCATAGGTGTCTGCAAAGGGGAACATGGTGACGACTGAAGCTGGGGTGTGGCATAAAAAGGTTTATTAGATGATTCTTTCTAAATTTGGAAATGTTTTAGGTTTTCTATAGTAAGTGCTTAAACATCACGGCAAACTGTGTGAGGCAGCCAGGTGGAGGGGAAACTGATAATGGCCACAGGAGTGACAGGGAGTGACAGCCACGGGAGTGACAGCCATGAAAGTGACAGCCATGGGAGTGACAGCCACGGGAGTAACAGCTGCAGGAATCACAGCCACAGGAATGACAGCCACAGGAATGACAGCCACGGGATGTCCAGAGTCAGTGGCAGCGTCATTCCCCCAGGTCAGTAATGAACACGCTCAAGTAAGTTGCAGGCAGACATGGGTATTTAGACAACATCATGGCAAACTCAGCCTCAGGAATGTCCTCAGCCTCCCTTCTCAGCAGTTGGGGAAAGTATACAATTTTCGCATACCACACGCCCCACCTTGCGCCTAACGGCTCTGCACAGGACGCCGTCTCCATGGTGACAAGCCCATGTCTGCCCCACCTACATGCTAAACATCCACCTCCCCTGACACGAGTGTCCCTGGGCCACCAAAACAGAGCCCCACAAACGGGGCAGTTTATTTTACTTATTTACTTTTTAATATTTGTTCAATTGATTAGGTGACATTGGTCAACATGAACATAGGTTTCAGCTCTGGGTTTCTATGCTAGAAGATCTGTATGTTGCACCGTGTGCCCACCACCCGAAGTCACATGTGCTCCTGTCACCTCATATCAGGACCCCTTCTGCCCCCACTCCCTCCCTCTGGCAGCCACCTCACGCTGTTTGTGTTCATGAGTTTCGGTTTTACAGTATGTCCCACATAGGAGTGAAATCACATGGTCCTTAGCTTTCTCTGCCTCCTTTCACTTCGCATGATGTTCCCAGGTCCACCACGTTGCTGTAATGACGCCATTTCCTCCTTTCTCAGGCTGAGTGGTGTTCCGTGCGCATGTGGACCACGTCCCCTTTGTCCGGTCCTCTGTTGCAGGCACTGTGGCTGTTTCCACGTCTTGGCCCCTGTGAATGATGCAGCAATGAACATAGGGGTGCATAGAGCTTTGCAAATACATGATTTCAAGTTTTTGGGGTATATCCCCAGGAGAGGCATCACTGGGTCATAATTTTTTGAGGAATCGCCAGACTGCTTTCCATAGTGGTTGTACCGTCTGCATTCCCGCCAGCAGTGAGTGAGGGTTCCCTCTTCTCACAGCCTCCAACACTTGTAGCTGCTTGTCTTGTTGGTAAGCATGTGGACCACGTCCCCTTTGTCCGGTCCTCTGTTGCAGGCACTGTGGCTGTTTCCACGTCTTGGCCCCTGTGAATGATGCAGCAATGAACATAGGGGTGCATAGAGCTTTGCAAATACATGATTTCAAGTTTTTGGGGTATATCCCCAGGAGAGGCATCACTGGGTCATAATTTTTTGAGGAATCGCCAGACTGCTTTCCATAGTGGTTGTACCGTCTGCATTCCCGCCAGCAGTGAGTGAGGGTTCCCTCTTCTCACAGCCTCCAACACTTGTAGCTGCTTGTCTTGTTGGTAATGGGCACTCTAACAGGTGTGAGGTGCATCTCATTGTGGTTGTGATTTGCATTTCCCTGATCGCCAGTGAGGCCGAACATCTTTCCATCTATCTATTGGCTGTTCGTATGTCTTCTTGGGAGAGGTGCATTTTCAGGTCCTCTGCCCACTTTTCAATTAGATTGTTTGTTTGGTGTTGAGTTTTATGAGTTCTTTATTTATTTTGGAAATTAAACTTTTGTTGGAGCTACTGTTTGCAAATATCATCTCCCATCTGGTTGGCTGCCTCTTTGTTTTGTTATCAGTTTCTTTTGCTGTGCAGAAGCTTTTTAGTTTGATATAGTCCCATTCATTTATTTCTGCCTTT